ATGATGGAGGACCGTGTCATATTTTGTTGCTGCGCACGGAGCCAACATAAATATGAGCCTTTGCTATAGTAATAACATTCATGGGGGAAATCACCAATTGAAGAAAAAAAGATATTTATCTATACTTTCCATGTATTTAACAATTTAAATATCAAGATGAGAATATCAATTTTTTCAATAAAGAAAATATAGAATCACCTGGATAAACAAAAGTCATATTTTAAGTCTTGAATCCATATTTGTATCGATTCTTGGAGTTAGTTGCAGTGATCTCCTCCTGTCCCAGAACACTATTTGAAATCTTTAGCATCATTTTGAGAGTTGCAAGCAAAACTACTGAGGTTCCTATACATGTGTCTTTACTTTTAGATAGTTTTTTACTGGAAAAAAAAAACTTAGCAAAGGGAGTTAGTTACTAAGAAAATATAGTTGATCAGCACAAAAAGGGAAAAGATGGAGAATTCTAGAAATTAAACGTCTGTGGTGCAGGATAGTGCAAGATTCAGATTCTTTTGTTCATAGGGTTGTTAGGAATCATAGACCATGGCACCTAACAACAAAATAACATTTGACATTTTAAGCCGACACTGAAGTCTAAATAGCATTTACCTCAAATACTACCTAAATTATTTTAATAATAGTTTATTAGAAAATAAGAGATAGTTATGTGTAAAATCACCAGCCTAATGCACTTAGAAATTACAATAAGAATGTTATTCAGTCAACCTTGTATTCTCTGTATTTTTCTCCTTGTTTTGTTTTAGCTTTGTAGTTTTACTCCACAGTTTACTGTCACTTTCTCTGAAAAAAAATAATCAGTTCTTTTCTAGTACAAATATCCTAAATATTTGGGGAAAAAAATCCCAAAAACCTGTATTATTGGAAACATAAAATGAGTATCTCCATAATTTACTTTTTCTATCTTCTTTCTAATCTTATCCTAAAGAGAATTCTGATTAAATTTCAAAAGTCATACCTATACTTACTTTGTGTGACTCATATGTATTAATCTACTGGCTGGTTATTTTAAATGCATTTAGTTCATTTAAAAAATAAATGGCAAACTCAGTCCTTGTATGTGGTCTCTGAAGGAGAAAATATAGGTTGACAATCCTAGATAAATAAAGGAAATAGGAGTTAATTGGGGTCATGTTAATAATGAGTTGAAAATAAGTAGGTCAGCTTTTGGAAAAACTAGTGTTCATCCCTGTGAATCCTGCAGGCAAAACCACTATAAGCATGATTCCACACTGTGCTCAGAGAAAGGTTCCTTTATGCTGCTATGAATTTCCACAAAGCTGCTGACACTGAATTACACAAAGAGGGAATTGTATAATAAGATGCCAGGACATGCCTGAATCTCACTATAGAGTGAAAAAGTAATTTTCAATTTTGTCACTTTTAAAGTAAATTAATCTCAGATAGTTTGATTTTCTCTATATGAATTTAATTCAAGATCTATGTTAAACATAGTATTTAGCTAATTTATACACCTGTTTTAACACAGAGGAGTAAGAAAATACTTTTTAAATACAATGCTCTGATTAAAATTAGTCTAGCATACTTATTGGTATTTCATTATCAATGTGATAATGTGTTTTTTTCATGTAACACGTGGATGTATTTTTTTCTGACTTAGATAAAAAGATAGTCAACTATGTTACCAGCCTTCATTACTAACACTTTATGCATTTTGGGATCTAATTCCTGTATCATTCTAAATGGCTCATAAAACCCTAATAAAAGGTAGTGCCATGATATAAATATCTTGTATTTCTTATACATAGAGCATAGTTAGAATCGCCTTTCTTAACTTCATAAATATCTTACTAAATTTTAACCCAAATCTTTCTCTTTGATTATAACCTTTAACTCTCATTAGCTCCTCTTAATCATCCTTTCCTCTTGTTTCTGAAAATTCTTTTCCTGCCTAAATGAATTATCCTCCACTTTAGCTGTCGAGATTAATTAAATTAATACTTGTCCGTTTTTTCAATTTCTTAAGATATTTTTTATTTTAATGCCGTCTTACAAGAAGTCATATCATCCAAGTTGATGTCATCAGTGCAAATACACTTTTCATTCAGATGACTGATGAAAGTATCTGTTTTATATCTTAAAGCTTCAAACAAAATAATCTGTCCCAAAGTTAATAGAGTAACTATTGCCAGCTGCTATGACAAAATTTACTGTGCAATATGAAAAATGTGATTTAGATAACTATTTATTTAATGTCTTGAATACTATATATCATATTAAAGTAAAATGAAATACACTAGATTTGTTTTTATAATTCAAATTATTCAGAAGGAAAAGGTCAAGTAAATAATGAAGCTTAGGAAGTTTTAATAATGGTCTAATTCTACTTCTAATTAATGAGAGAAGAAACTGCAAATTTTTCTTATTGTTTCTGATTAAAATATTGAGCAAATGAAAAGTAATTTTAAAAAGTTATTTTAGTAAGTAGAATTTCTGCATCTAATGTATTTGCAATCATGGCTAATACAAAAGAAATTACATTACTATAATTCTGCTTTATAGAAGTGTATATGTGTAACGCCCACTAGAATTGAAGATTGTAAAGGGCTTATTTAACATAATTTTCACAGTAATGACTGTGTTAATTTTTACTTAACACCCAGCCCCTATTGATTAATTTATTCTACTATACATATGGATTTGGAAGCAGGAGTGGCATCCACTTCCATAATAGCTTGCCTCTGGGAACCCTATGAACCTGGAGAAAGGACAAAAGTTATACAGGAAGTGTCCAGGACTTTTGTTCATAGAGTCACTATGAGTTGCCTGCAACTCAATGGCACTTAACACCAGCAGCAGCAGCAGCAGCAGCAGCAGCAGCAGCAGCAGCATAGAAGGAGAGAGCAGTCGGCCTAGTGGACAGAAAGCCATGCTCCCAAGCCAAAGGTGGGAGACTCTACTCCGCAGCTATCAGGCCTGCCTTTAATTGTTTTCGGTGAAACATTCTTCTAGGTTGTGTAATCCTGGTATGTCTACTTGCTGTACAGAGGTAACCTGCGGTTGCTGTGAAGCTGAACACTGTGACACTGATGAGTCAAATGCGAGAATGGTTATTCATGGTGGACAGTGTTTGGTGAAGCTCCCTGATTAAAACAAGCTTGGAAGCAGGAGTGGCATCCACTTCCGTAATAGCTTGCCTCTGGAAATCCTATGAGCCTGGAGAAAGAAAGAAAGTTAGACAGGAGGTGTCCAGGACTTTCATTCATAGTGTCAGTATGAGTTGCCTGCCGCTCAATGGCACTTAACAACAACAACATACATATTGATACCTATGAATTGTGGTGCTGGAGAAGAGTATTGAACATATCTTGGACAGCCAAGAAAACAAACAGGTCTGTTTTGGAGAGGGCGAAACCAAGTTTCTCCTTGGAGGCTAGGATTTTGAAGCTCTGTCTCACATACTTTGGGCACTTGGCCAGGAGAGACCAGTCCTTGGAGAAGGACATCATTTTCGGAAGGGTGGAGAGCATCAGTGAGGAAGACCCTGGATGAGATGGATTGATACAATAACTGAGGCAAAGGGGGTTGGTGTGTTGGAGTCAGTGGTCAGTGCGACTGGCTCAGGATAGGGTAGGGTTCAGAGCTGTTATACATAGTGTTGCTATGAGTTCCAGGAGGAGTGGCATCCACTTCCGTAATAGCTTGCCTCTGGAAACCCTATGAACCTGGAGAGAGGATGAAAGACACACAGGCATTGAGGACTCTCCTTCATAGGGTCGCTATGAGTCGCCTGTGAATCGATGGCACTTAACAATTGTGAAGGTATATGATTTGAATCCACCAGCTGCTCCATGGGAAATGAAGGGGAATCTCATCCCATGTGATTAATTGCCTTCTGAAAACCCGCTGGAGAGTAAGCTAGGGGCCGGTTCAGACTCAATGGTACACCAACACAACAATAGTAAGTGGTATTACTTTCCTTCTTGTTTTTAATTTTAAGATAGTAGACACATTAAGACATTTACTTAGCATATTCCTTAAATCAAGGAGCAACTTAATATTAACTAATCCTTTGACTTTCAAGGACTTCTTTTTAAATTCCATACTAAAATGTAGATTTGTTCATTGTCACAATCTGGATTTATGTTTGTTGTTGTTATGTGACATTGAGTTGCCTGCAACTTATAGCAGCCTTATGTACCACAGCCCTAAACCCTGCTCTATCCAGGGACAATCTTATTGTCTCTGACACACTTACTCCCATTATTCCAGTCATTGAATCAATCCATCTCATCCAGGGTCTTCCTCTTCTGCACTGTCCCCCCACCCTTCCAAGCATAACGTCCCTCTCCAAGGACTGGTCCCGCCTTGCAACATGTCCAAAATATGTCAAACAAAGCTTCAGAATCCTTGCCTCCAAGAAGCAGCCTGGTTTAACCCTCTCCCAGGACAAACCTGTTCATTCTCTTAGCAATCCATGATATATTCAATACTCTTCTCCAAAACCACAGCTCAAAGGCATCAATTCTCCTTCTATCATCCCTAGTCATTGTCCAGATCTCTGATGCATAGCCAGTGATTGCAAAGATCATGGCCTGTATCAGGAACCTCAGTCTCCAGACTGACATCCTTGCTCTTCAGTACTTTGGAGAGGTCTCTAACAAGAGAGTTTCCCAATGCACTTTGTCTTTTAATTTCCTGGCTCCTGGTGCCAAGAGTGTTGATTGTGAATTTATATAAAAGCAGATAATTCTGGGAGGGCTCTGATGCCCTAGACTTTAGAGTGTTGTGTTGTTAATATAAAGGCCACATCTACGATTGTTCAAACACATTAGTAGCTCCTTTTGGAGAAATATGGAAAATCTATGGGATTGACAGCCTTATAAACTGAATACAGGGTCTGCTAAGAGTCAGTTCTAACTCAATAGCAACGATTGAAGGATTTTGTTTGTTTTTTGAGACTTTTCTTAAGACTTTAAATATTTATATTAAAATCTGTATGCACAGTAAGAGAGCCAAAATTATTTACAAAGGATCATTTATTAAACACTTTTTCCTTTTACAAAATACAAAGTTGCTGTTCATTATGAATACATTACATATGAAAAAATAATGAGTCTTTATTGTATTTCATTTCAAAACATTCAGTAATGTGCTGTTTATTAACATGAGGAATCAACTTTGCTTTGCAACTTGTCTATTACTAACTGGGAGAAACCCCTTTTCTTCTTAATTAAATCATATTTATAAAAGCTAACATTTTATAGAAGTAAAGCCGGACAACATCTGTCATACAAAGCTCTTTCTGCAAGGTTACTGACTTGCCTATGATCCTAAATATTTTTTTCAAGCTATAAGATAGGAAGAATTGAGGAGCTAGGTAAGTTTTAAAATATTTATTAGCAGCAGTTGATAGTAAATGCAACATAAGATTTGTTTTGTCTGTGGTACAAGAATATGTCCTATCAGACTCTACTGCATTTTTCTCTACTTGAACACAAGAAAGCATGTACTGATTTTCTTTGGGATGAAAAAAGATATAAAAAGACAAGAAGCTGACCGTCATTGTGAGCGTCTATTTTCATCAGCTAACATGACTGTATTGCTAAAATTAGTGAGGACAGAAAAAATGAGTTAAAGATAATATATACAGCATTAAAATACATTTTATATCCACTTAGGAGTGATTTCAGGCACTGTGGTTGTTCAGGACAAACTGCTTCATGGTTTTTTTTTTCTTGATAGCAATTTAATTGTTCAGTGCAAGCAAAAGCAAATACCTGCCCACTCTCAGACACGTGATCACATGCATCTGGAATACTCAAAGTCCTTTTATCTTCGGCATCTTCACTCAGGAGGCATCATGAACGATAAATGCCTCCCGGTTTGCTCTTGATAGCAATTTAACTTTCAGTGCAAGCAAACGCAAACACACCTGCCCACTGTCACATGCATGACTAAATATCTGGAACATTCAAAGCAAGTTTAGGTTTGCCTTCTTCACTGTGGAGGCAACTTTAATAAGTGATACTTAGGGTAAACCCTTTACAAATCACAAAAACCAGACAGGAAATGCCTGACCTTAATGATAATAATAAAACCCACTGTTATAATCATCTTTCTGTGTAAACGATGTTAGGGTAAGGCTTGCCATCACAATATTGCTTTCCTGAGAATGGAGCTAGTCCTCTTGGCATGTATCATAAATGCGCATGCTCAGAGCTGTGGTCACTGTCGTGACTATCTTCATTTGCTAGAGAGTCCCCTGTGTGCTGTAAGGTGGCCGCTCCAATTCCCGAAAGCTCTGAAGGGAGAAGTGTTCCCTTTTTCACATTCACCAGTTCCTTTTCTCGAGCTGCAGCTCCTTGCTGTCCTCCTTTTACCCTCTTCCACTTCATTCTCCTATTCTGGAACCAGACTTTCACCTTTTAGAAAGAAAAAGACATACAACGAAATTAAAAAAATATATTTCCCCTTTTATCAACATCACTTAAAAATATTTCCTCAAGATACAAGAGTAAATATTAAAATGGATATAAACAGAATTGATAATCAGGTTTTATCATTATAATAATTGCATAAGTAATTATTAAACGTTCAGAAGGCCATGCAGTTGCAACTTATTTTATATGTCATATAAATAATATGCATGTCACTTATAAACAAATGAAAGAAGTAAAATAGGAAAGAACCCTATCTTTTACAAAGTGGTTGTTGTTGTTATTCTGTGCCTTCAAGTCAAGAATGACTCACAGTGACCCTACGAACAACAGATCTGAACCCTGTTCCATCCTGTGCCATCTTCATCGTCTCTGACACACTTGACCCATTGCTACAAGCACAGTAACAAACCATCTCACTGAAGGTCTTTTCTTCATTGATTGTTTACCTTTCCAGTCATGAAGTCCTTTTCCCAGGAAAAGAAACAGCATTTCCAAAGTATGTAAGACAAAGCCTCACCATCCTTGTCTCTAAGGAGCATTCTGGCTCCAAGTACATATACAGGATAGACAGTACTCTTCTCCAACATCACAGTCCAAAAGTATCAATTACTGTTTCATCCTCCCTATTCAAAGTGTAGCTCTCAGATGCATAGCAAGTAATTGTAAAGAATCAGGCACACCTTTGTCTTCAAATTGACATCATTACTTCTCAATAGTTTGGAGGGGTCCTTGACAGAGAACTTCCCCAAAACTTACCATAAACTAGAGCTAACATTATATGTATTGATAAATCTTATCTCCCTATAAAATTCTATTACTATCTGAGCTAACTGGAAAAAATGCTCAAGATAGTAATTTAAAGTTATTTAATACCATTGCAGTCTACTGCTTCATCCCCAAACATTTATTTGACAATTTCTTTTTGGAATGAACTCTATTTCTTCTGAGGTACACCTTAAAAAATTATATTACCTGTATTATTTTTGCTTTTATTCTAAAACAGATCTTCCTACTAATTTTATAAAAATATATAGTCAAGCATAGATTTTTCTCATTTCTTTCTGTTCAACTTTAAAACTGAAAATAGGTATTACATAATTAGTGTCAATGTGAAAGAGAGACAATATCTTCCAAAAGATAAATTTAAATTGCTTAGTAAAGTAAGTTTTGTAACCATTTTAAAGCCAAACAATAAATATAACCATAGAATTATCACCCAAGATCAGAAACAGATTAATATTGCTGTCAATGAATCTTCTTGCTTCTTGCTATGGGTTTCATTCACATTGCATGCTTTCCTTGTACACCTTAAGCTAAATGTTCTTTATATTCCTCTATGCAACCTACATATTAGCACAAGCATGAATTTTGTGCTTGACCTAAGCGTGACTTTTTAAAAAACAAACCAAAAATTCAAACTGTTTTCATCAAAACTCTAACACGAAAACACAGTGGTTCCTTCTTAGAAGTATTCAATTGTAGTGTTTTAATAGTATAGATTCCTATCTCCTACCAAAGAGGAATCTTAAAGGATTTCTGTCTCCAAAGAATGCTTAAACAAGGGCCAATATTCATCCATGTTTACTGCTGTTACTATTGTATATCGTGTACATCGTATACTATTGTATATCATGTTACCATTGTATATCGTATCCAACAGTTTCTCAATTTTCCTATCCGTAAACACTTGAGTTACTTTCTTCTTTTTAAAAAATATCATATTTTGAAATGTTTTTGCTTTATCATGGTTATGTGATAGAACATCTCTGGTTATTCTACTCAGGAGTTACATTACTGAGCCCTAGGGGCAATGAAGGAGTATTGGTGGCCTAATGGGAGGGAGTCTCTTTTGCTGACCAAAGCAAGCAGTCACGCAGTTTAAATCGACCAGCTGTTCTATAGGAGAAAGATGGAAAATCACCTTTCCTGTAATTTACATCCTCTTAAAACCTGCTGGAAGGTTCAACTATGAGTCAACTCTGGCTCCACGGTACACAAAAGCAACGAGGTAAATGAATGTTCAGTTTCTTGAAACACTAAAGGAAAAAGGACAGAAATATACCAATTTAACTTCTCCACACACATTCTAAAGTGTAAGGGCCCTGATTAACACCTAGGTCAATTATTGCTGTTACTGGTTTTAGTTTTTTGGCTAAAAAACACTGAAATATTGACTTATTGTACTGTGTACTTAGCTTACATTTCTTGATTAATTAAAAATAAGGCATGATTTCATACCTTTATAAGTCATTTGTGTTTTTGTCTTTTGTGAATGCCTCCACATGACTAGTTTGGAATGATTTAAAAGAATCATCACAATATAAGTTTACAAAAGAAATGTGCATCCTTTATTAGAACTGAAACACAGTAGAGATTTGTACACCAGTGTTCACAGCAACATTATTCACCATCACAACCACATGGAAACAACTCAAATGTCCCACCACAGTCCAATGGATTGAGAAATTGTGTACATTCATTCTCATGATGGAATACTATGCAGCACTAAGGAGCAATGATGTAGAAAATTGCTACTTATCTTGGAAGGGACTGGAGAGCATTAGGCTGCATGAACTAACTAACTAACTCAGTCTCATAAGGACCAATACTGTATCAGATAATTATTGTAGACATAGAAAGATATCTATGAGAAAAACGTGTATGAGGATACAAGGGGTGAGGGATTGTTGTTGTTATTATGTGCCATCGAGTCGCTTGCGACTCATAGTGACCCTATGTACAACAGCTCTAAACTCTGCTCTGTCCTGTACCAATCTCATTGTCTCCAACACACTCATCCCAATAGCCCCAGTCACTGAATCAATCCACCTCCCAGAAGGCCCTTCCTCTCCTGCACCTATCCTCCACCCTCCCAAGCACGGTGTCCTTCTCCAAGGACTGGTCTCTCCTTGAAACATGACCAAAGTATGTCAGACGAAGTCTCAGAATCCTTGTCTCCAAGGAGCATCCCAGTTTAACCCTCTCCAAGATGAATCTGTTTGTTTTCTTCACAGTCCATGGCACCCTCAGCACTCTTCTCCAACACCAAAGCTCAAAAGCATCAATTATCCTTCTATCTACCCTGGGCATTGTCCAGCTCTCTGAC